GGGGGGGGCTAATTTTAACTTGTTAAAAGGGGATCTGCTCGGGGAAGGAAATACGGCATCTTGAAGAATCATTCCTACATATTGGACATCGTTAATCCATTCAGAGTCTTGCTTATTGCACCCCAAATCACGATGATAAATCACAACAAGAATAGTTCATAATGAACTTACGACAGGAGTGTCTATTTAGGACGCTACATCATGCTTCATCTTGTCGTACGATTCGATACTTTACCGTTGATTCGCAAACGCTTAAATTGAAGATCAACTGAGGATGAGCATATGCAGATTAATCCCTTTGAAATTGCTGTTTCTGAAATGTAATTCATAGGAATAGTATTGCCACGAAGATCCACGGATTAGGTAGTGGTAACTGAAGCATGAGGCATCTTGTGTCTGTGAATCTGCTAGGCAGTGAATAGGGCACTAGGCTAAAAGCCACTAGAGGGGTGTTAACACCGTAAATATTCATATCTGTAAAAAGCGTGGTGAAATCGTTTCATTATTTGGTATACTCTCTGAAAAGAGCGGGGCAGTTGTTGAACTAATGGCCAGTCGGTTCAGTGCTATTCAGTGATTAAATTTACGGTTTATTGCATCGCTCTCTTCCTCTACTTGCCTAGAGGCTACCATTTTATGACAAAACACGGCTCAGTAGTATTTTAGCACCAATCACAGCATTCGACGAGTCTTGCATCATTTCGTTCCTTGAAGCAACTTCCTTATAATCAAGGGTTTCACGAGCCGATGCTCCTTGAATTCTAGTCTTGGAAAAGTTATGCGCAGATTAAACTACTCCGGCATACGAACCCGTACTCTGAAATATGTGCGGTATTATATAAGGAATAGCGGTGAATAGAAACTTGCTGTGGAAAACAACGCGAGATGCACCTAGCACTGCGGATAGTTCTTGGTTCCGTTGCTCACATAAACACCCCTTAGACAACTAAAAGCAAGATACGGTGCAGTAGCGCACAATTTAGGCTATAGGCTGTATGTATATGCTAATGTGCTAGTGGAGCCCTCTGTGATGTTACACTTACTGATGAACACTTTTCAGGTCGTCAAATCCTAATGCGCCTCCAATATGCCCTTGCGGAAAATGCCACCGCGAGATCCACGACAACGATCAAGCGATTCAGTGCTACCGTGGATGCAAGTTTTGGTTCCATCGCACGTGTGTCGGCTTGACGGAGGACGCGTGGCACATGATCGTCAATGAACCTTATGCTGAATGGGTGTGCGATCCATGTCTAGCTTCCAAGCAGATACCTTGGGTCATCTTTACAAACTCGTAGTTTATACAGTGTTAACAGTATTACTATAAAAAACTGCAGCAAACGCTCATATAAAAAATTTTACATTTAAAGAACCAAAATAATTTGATAAAAATTTATCATCGTCGCCGTCGTCTAAGCAGTAGAGGAGGAAAGTATGCATGATATGTACAGATGGAAGCGAATTGACATATCAAATCCCGATAAAAATATAACCAGCACCTGGTCAAAGGTGATCATGGCTCCGTTCTGTTCGGTAGGTGCGTGCAGTTTGTTTTCGCATTGGTATCTTTGCTTTTGTTAATAATTAGCCTTTATTCTCAGAAGTGGTACCGGCGCTCTTATTCCAACAAGTAGTGTCCAGATACTCGGCCATTTCCGCCGATGCGTTAGATGCCGATGTCGTTCTTGTTGGGCTTTGTAGAGGCTGTGTAGGCGTTTTCGATCGAGGTGGGTTGGCCGGGCGAAGAAACTGCTCACCCTTTTCAGCCAACTTGATGCGTGTCGTCGAATGCTGAGGTGACGTAGACTAAAGCAAGTGAATTTGATCAACAAGAAAAAATGAGTTAGCGGCCGCCTCATCAAGACTCGTACCTGTAGCTGGCCACTGTGAAAAAGTAGCGATCCACAGGCTTTACAGCGATAGGGAATGGAGCACGGGGGACTGATGCCGCTGGGGGTCATATTCACGTTCACGCTCAAGCTGCCTGCAACATTAACGACGTTTCAGTATACAAAACTATAAAAAAATGTACATACAGGTATACATGAAACAGAAGTTTAAGAAAAAGTGGGAACATTTGCCAGCAGTGGATTCAAAAATGATGACTGAATGTTTTGACATATTGCCTATATTATGGTATATTGTTTTGGTAATTAAAGAAAATTCAAAAAATTCCCATATAGTGAAATTCGGAATATTAAATACACGAAAATCAGTGTTAAGAATAGCTTACACTGCAAGAGCTGAAATTCATAACTACGTTTTCCTCAACCGCAGAAGGTGCAACCCGATATTTAAGACGAGTTAGGCGTAACTCCTACATTTGGCCTGATCACCAGATGGTCATAGCGGAAATTTCATCTAAAACTAGCCATTGCAGAGACATCGTCTGGTTGAAACACATCAGCTGCTCGATGTTGACATGCTAAAGTATGACGAAGCGGCGCGGTCGGCATGCCAAAAAGATGTAGTTATTTTGAGATAGAGGTAGCTATACCGACCAAGAGTCTTTGAGCGCAACAGTACGATGGGATCAGTATATTATATAAAATCCGTATGCGATTCATTGGTTGCTAATCTAAGATGTTGCCATTTTTTGTCGTCATTACACACTAAAATGTTAACGGTTTGACTCTACTTTTCCTTCTCATGAAGCTTTGTTCTGACGACAATGTAATATTCAACATTTTCAAAGTTTAGGTATTTGTCTGGAAGACTACGAACAAAGGTCATGTCTAAGTGCTGCTGGCGACAGTCCATGACGATTGATAGCAGTTTACGTATACGTTATATTTATTATAACAGACTGCCCTAAATACGTATTAAGCATTTCCAAACGACCATCACTTTCTGAACAGACCATTCAAAATAGTAAATACAAGTTACTCTAAGATTCAGGCAAGAGCTATATTGCTCATTGTCTGGGTATGAACTTCCGAAGACACTGCATGAAGTATTGTAGAAATTAAACTGGTGAACGATGCCTAGAGGTATCTTTCGTTTGATGTTTGACTTAGCAATGTTTTAACTGTAAGCGACAACTAAATAGAAGCACCCGGATGA